CGGTTGATTATTTAGTCAAATACATTTCAAATGACCGTGAAATAATTCATCACATTTTCCCGAGATCTTTTGAAAGAAGAAGCTTTCTAAAGCTAGGGGGGAATTTTTTCAAGCAACAATTAAAATAATTGCCCTCTGTCAAAATACAGAATTTAAAGGTGACCTATCATGCAAAACGCACTTGTGTATGTCTTTTATACATGAATATGTGTCCCCGGTGTTCCAGGGAACTCACCAAGTGTCAGAAAACACAACCCTCTCTATTTTCCTCCATACCTAAATCTCTTAAAAAGGCGCTGCAACGGATCTGATACAGACTGATCCAGATTTGAACACTTCTATGACGTCACAGAAGTGGCGCTACGGCTATTGGGCCAACTCCACCAATCAGGAGGAGACAGCCACGGACATTGCCGTTCGAAAGCGCTGGAGACGCTGTAGTACATATGCCAGGCCTGTAGATGGTGCTGTTCTCACAGAATCAGCCCATGACAAGACAGTGTTAAATTGAGCGAAATGAGGAATGGCTAAAATGCATGATCTGTTTGGTATTTTGAAAAATAAAAAGTATAAATATGCCTTATATAGGTATGGTCCTACACTATACTATTCAAATATAGCATGATAGGTCCACTTTAAACCAACAATCTTGATAAATATATTTCTTAGAGAAGATGATGTATTTACTTTTACCAAAATGGTGGGACACTATGTGAAAATCACTGTCGGTGCCTTCTAGTGCAATGGTGATGCTTTTTCTGAATAACCTAGGAACCGAGTTTGGCATTTTTAATTGACCATTTATCAAGCCACTACCAAGCTTAAAAATATATATATATAATATATACTAGTGTGCATTATAAGTAAACTTGATCAATTCAAGTATTGTGTATTTTTGCATTGAAAACAGATTTGAATTTTCAATGTCACAGCATTCAAGACATTTGTAAAAAATGTTATTTGGTTTGTTTATTCCCAAAAAGAAACGTCCTCCTTCAATGAGCCGGTGCTGCAGGAACAGTTGGAAAAGCTCAACAGGCAGAACACTGAGCATTCCCATGGAAAAGCAGAGGCCGACAACCAGAGGGGGGAGGGGGGAGGAAGTGGAGGGAAAAGACAGGAGTCGGCAGAGCCGATCCTGAACGGACAATTCACCGCTGAGGCCGAGTCAGAGGACAGGAAGAAGGACACACACTGGAAAGAGGAGGGGGGGGATCTCTTCCAGGACTCAGAATCAGATGAAGTGGAGGAAAAAGTAGAAGATGTTAGTCCAGAACAGACTGTGGAGGATGATGGGAATACAAAGCATAAAGGAGAGGCAGAAGAGTCATCAACATTGGATAAAGCCTCTCTCTCACCACAGGAAAGGTATTTTTAGACAATACAATTTCAGAGTTATAATGAATAATATGCATCACATTTTTAATTCAAGCTTTTGCAGGTGCTCAAAGCGCTTTTACAATTACACATTGCACATATTAGACATGTAAGAGTCATTACTGTGGACATTACCCACAGGAGCAAAATCGGGTGAAGTGTCTTTCCCAAGGACACAACGGCCTGACGCAGTGGCTGCCGAGGCGGGTTTTGAACTAGAGTTCACCAACGCCCCTTGATCTGATGATCGTCATGCTTATTAGTTAGTTTAGTTAGTCATTATTAGTTATGATTGAATTTAAGTCAATATTGTGTTAATTATATGTTGTTATTATTTGAATGTATACATGTCAAAGGAGTAACGTTAGAGAAAATCATTTGGGGGTGGGAGGGTGGGAGAATCAAAATTGAAACAGTTTCTTCATGTGTAGCTCTGAGGAGGTCAGCGATGTGGCCACTTGCAGCAAACGTCGTGTCACTGAAGAAGACCTGGTGAAGGACGACCTCAAGAAAAGCAGAGTGGAAGATGAGGAAGGGAAAAACGCTGAGGTGGCAGAGGAAGGAGCGGCTCAAGCCTCCAAATCTGAAGAAGTAAAAACTGAGGTGGAAGAGGAGGGGAAGGAGGGAGAGTCAGCAGAGAAGGAATTTCTTCTTGGTGAGACAGACATTGTGTTTATACAATGCATGAATTTCCAAATAATCCAAGAAAATAAGAGAATGCTTTAGAATATGGGGGTTTAGCTACTTTTTATAATGTGTCATACATGACTTATTTCCCATAATAAGAAAAATAACTTTTAAACGAAGGGGCCCTTTATGCCTTTATGGGTTTCCCTGTCCTGTACTGGGTGTATAGGTATTTGTGCATGTAAATGGTTTGCAAAGTCTTAAATCACAAAGTTCACAACACAACCCGCCCCCCCCGAAACGCCTCGATTACACTCCCTTGTTTACTTTCGTAACATAATGACATCACTACATAACACTCTTGCTTCTATTGGCTAGCGCTCCAACATATTGTACGTGATAGGCTAAGGGGCGGTTCATCTCTAATTGGTTGACCAATCACAACATAGCTGTCCAGCTAACCAATCCGAGCACACTGGGCTTTGGTTTCAGACAGAGTGTGAAAAGAGGTGCTGCAGGACAGGCAGTATGTGAAAAATAAAGAGTTTTTGAACATTAAATCATGGAAACATGTCTCAAATAATACAAATATGAAACCTGAAAATGTACCTAAAAGGGCCCCTTTAATTGTACTTTTCTGCATGTCAACCCCTGTCTCTCCTAATGTTCTAGTCTTTCTTAATCAAGGCAAACACTTTAAAAAATACCCTGAAAAAGAATGCAATGAAATAGCAACCTTAGTTTTCCCTGCTTTTGGTACTGTTTCAAATGGATTTATGCCATATTCATGTGCTGCAGGCTCTCCATGTAGATCCAGTTTGGTTGTTAGTTGATGACATTTAACTTTCCATGCTTCAGACTTTGAAGCAGATCCAGTGTCATAACACCATGGCTGTTTGAGCGTCACTAACATGTGAGCCGATAATGAGACATTGGCATGCTGCTATTTTGATCCACTTTGTTTCTGGGCCCTCTTACCTCAGACTCTGTTTTCAGCAAAGCAAGTTCTATTATTTATTTATTTTATCTTAATTTCTTTATCGTTTCTCCAGACGTAAGCCCTCCACCGCAAGCACCTTTCGACCACCGCATTGTGACTCCCAAACCCCACCAGATATCCTCCTATTACACCATCAACAGAGACGAGGTCCTTGGAGGGTGAGTAGATACCCTCAAGAGTTTGTTTTCATATCGCTCGGTTAGAGCGCCCTCTCTAATGAAATAACACAGGACCTCACAGCCTGGGAGAGGGGACGCCCTAATAGTTTTTTTATTTTAGAAACCTTTTTATTGCCACTCCCAAAGGGAATTACATGAGGGGGCACTTGCGAAAAAGCGGGCCCCTCTGATGTATAGACCAGTGCTAAATCCTGCCTCTCAAGATAGAGATTAGCGAGAACATTTGTCAAATTATTGACATATTGGCACAGTACTTAGCCCTATGGGTGAAGAAGCCAGTATGATAATTACATATCAATTTATCTGAGTAGCTTCTAGAATTAGTCGATTCTTTTTTGGAAAAAACAAATTCAAAAAACAAATTCCAAGAGCACAAACTCCCCCCCCCCCC